CGACCGCACGCACCAAAATCTCTTATAATTAACAATAACACATTTCTAAAAATATATTTCGGATTACATCTATTCTTTCGTTGTCCTGTTATTACCGGGATGTAAAAAGCAAATCTATTTCCATACCTGATGATGTCTGTATGCACAGATGAAAGCTTGTAAAAAACTAAAAAAAGACCTTATGCAACTGGAATTTAAAAACAGGGGTCATAATATTTATCTACAAGTTCGAGGTTGATGTAATTTATTAAATTTGTTTGCGAATGCATTCTCGCCATTTATATCATTAACTTCAATATCTGTTTTTTTATATGAATGATTCATGTAATATATATATATATATATATATATATATATATATATATATATATATATATATGTGTGTGTGTGTGTGTGTTTTATCTGTGTGTGTGTGTATGTGTGTGTGTGTGTGTGTGTGTGTGTGTGTGTGTGTGTGTGTGTGTGTGTGTGATTACATTCATATCATTAGCTGTTGACTCGTATTCTCGGCTCTTGGCTAAAGACTCTGGTCCTACACATGAAACTCTCAATAGTGAGGATATTTTTGGCGCGTCCTTAAAAAGAAAAATAATGAGAAGCAGAAAATTTCAAAGGAATTAGATTTAAATTTCTTATTTTCGCTTTTGTAAGAAATTTTGAAGGTGCTACGGAAAAAGACAAGAAGACTCATGAAAGTAAAATTTGCAAGAAAGTAAATATTTGTTAAATATTACTCAAAATGACAAGATAATTTTGCAATGTGAGAAATCCGCAAATTACAATCTAACAGAAAAATTCCCTTTTGAGCATTAAAAAATCAAGACAGTTTAACAGTTCTTTCAAAATAAAAATCTGTTTTCTCTCAGAGGCACAATAATTCATGAAAAACAAATATTTTTAAGCATCAAAGGAATTTTAACAATTTTCTTTTAGAGCAAAATTTCCTTCAAATTCAATTTCTTCCCAACAAAATCATTACTTTCTTTGAAATGTTCACAATTCAAAGTGTCGAAGATCAATGTTTGAAAGTCCAAGGAGATTAGAATGTACTGACTTAACACTTGCGAAGCTGTTTCTCTAGCTCATTTAGACAATTTATTGTTTCGGAACAGGCTTTCTCAAATATGAGATAAATTCTCGCAGGTTTAGAAAAGAAATACTTAGTTAAAATGGTTCACGAATGTTCTTGTTCTTGTTCTTCTTCCTCTTCTTCAGTCCGAACAGTAGTAGTAATAGTATTTCTAGTAGTGGCATTTTCTTTACTCGGCCGGGTGGTCGAAACCATTCTGCCGGGGCAGTAGTACTAGGAAGAAGTGTAGATTTTACACCCCTCAGGTGGTCAATCTCTTCGCCCCTGTCACAGTCTGAAGCCCAAGTGTGGTATATCAGTTCCGGTTTCCCAGTAAAAACTTACCTCGGAGCTGATTATCTCCTTCCTTTATATTTAGGGATTCGCAATAGGCGTCCACAAATATGAGATAAAATCTCACTTGTTTAGAAATGACGTTCTTAGTAAATAGAATTCTGGTAGGTTTTTAAGGGCTCTTCTTTTTCTTCTTCGGTGGCAGCCGTAAAAGTAAATGTTACATTCTCCGTCGCGTGGTAGAATAATTTCTGCGGCAATATTAGTAAGCTTACCGTAGTCAAATATTGCTGTACTGGATATCAATCTGGAGACTTTGCGAAGGTGATCTCGAAGAAGAGACTAAGCATAAACTACAAGAAGACAGAATGCATAGTCACCAACAAAAATTTACAGGTCGGGTACGCTATAATCGAGCATGTGCGGAAATTTAAATATCAGGAAAGTGTTCCAACAGAGGACGGTAAGTGCGACGCTGAGATCCGAAGACGCACTGGGATAGCCAAAAACGCATTCCAAAAGCTAGGCAGAGTATTATGAGATAATGATTAACACAATTTACGTTAAACTGAGACCAATTTCTCTTAAGCTCAGACAAAAAAAAAATTACAGTTTGCCAGCCACGGCCATCGAGTCCATTATTATTTATATTGGCAGGACGAAACGGTCGTGCGAACTAATGAAGAAATGGGTAAGTACATTTATTATATGAAAAGTTTTTTTTTATCATTAGGGCATTTGGCTATATATATATATATATATATATATATATATATATATAAAAGGAACACAGACCACTTTAAGGTACCATTATAATAATTTATTTCAACAGAGCCCTTTTAAAGGACGCCGGAGAAGAAGCCAAGAAGCCCATACAAATATTAATATAAATCATTTCATTTTTGGATGTGCTATCTGATGATCCGGCGTCCTTTAAAAGAACTCTGGTGAAATAAATTATTATAATGTTACCTTAAAGTGGTCTGTTTTCGTTTTAAATATTAGCTCTGGATTTACATTAAGCTCTCAGGATTTCATCCTCCTTGGGATTACTATACGGATTACCAAGTTCTTCATAACTTAACTATATATATATATATATATATATATATATATATATATATATATATATATATATATATATATATATTAGTGTAAAATATACATACATATGCAAAATATATAAATACCCATACATGTATATTTTGAAAAAAAAAAAATTCCAAGTGGAAGAATCCAGGTAGAACTCAATGTCCAGGACAGAGTAAGGATATAATAAAAAGGTTTAAACACTAATATTAGTGTTTTAAGCCTCTTATATATATATATATATATATATATATATATATATATATATATATATATATATATGATTTCAGGATATAATATTTTAAAGTAATGTACATTATAATAATCAAATTAAATCATTAAATAAGAAGAATGAGATAATGTATCGATGGAACATTTTAGCATATACTTATTTTGTTACTTTAATAAGAATATAACGTAGTACAACAAATACAACAATATTATAATTTAATTAATAATCTAACCTAACATTACAGCTTCAATACAAGCCATGGATATATAAATAATTCTAATTGAAAAAAAATATAATTTGAATGGAAAATTTACGATTGGAAAAAAAACAAGTACAATTGGAAAAATTGTCATTTACGAATGAACACGTAAAGAAAAGTAAAAATCCATAAAAGTGTGAGTGTAAAAAACGTAAAACTCATGAACATGCGCCGCTGCACAACGGATTAAAAAAAAAAACGTGATTCAAACAACAGACCTCTTGAAGAATTAATATTTCAAGAAACTCCGAAGTCGGGGAAACAACCAAAAATTGATGTTTACATTTAAGCTATTTTTCTGTATATATATATATATATATATATATATATATATATATATATTATATGCACAGTACTTAGTGGAAATTGTTCAATATCAGTGATAGAGCTAACATATTCAGTAGTATGGTTGTGAGATTGTAACCCTGGGTCTCACGCTATTGCGATCATGATAGCAAAATCATAAAACCCAGGGACACAAACTAATATCCTTACTATTGAATATATATATATATATATATATATATATATATATATATATATATATATGCCGCAAACTATATGAAATTGCCGTGGAATCATGAAAAAATCGATTATTTCCACTATCGATGGGAGTTGGGGGGAATGGAAAGTCGGTTTTGGCCTTTTCTGCTAATTTGGAGCATGTGCATGAAAATTTTGGTGCAAATCCATCGAAAATTGCAGCCGTGCATTCGTTACACACACACACACGTCCTGCCTTTATATATATATATATATATATATATATATATATATATATATATATATATATATATCTTTGGATGTGTGTATTTATGCATATGTCAGGCTAGACAAGGGATATAAAAAGACACATTGAAATGAATGCAGTCTGTGTCTTTAACTGGACATGTCAGCGATGGTTATACTTGCCTTGTGAGTCGACAGCCACTATATATATATATATATATATATATATATATATATATATATATATATATATATATATATATTGTTGAACAAATTTGTCTGACGATCGCTAAAGCGTGAAACCCAGGGTCACAAACTCACATCTATCCAACCAAATATGTTAGCTCTATCTCTGATATTGAGCGCTTTCTAATAAGTACCGCGCATATAATATATAAATAATTATACATATATATATATATTTATATTTATATACACATATATATATATATATATATATATATATATATATATATATATATATATATATATATGGGGCGTATGTGTGTGTGTGTATTCGTTGGTCAATGCGATTCTTTTAGATTCTGGTAATCTTTACAGTTTTCAATAGATGGAATATGCTTGACACATTGAAAAAACCGTATTCAAAAACCAAGTTTTTACATTGCTTCCAGCAGTCACTAGTTGTTCCATTTGGAAGAAGTAACTATCTCAGCCAACATACAAGGCAAGTAAAAATTTGTGCGGGAGACATGCCAATTGCTTTCTGTAATATAAAATAGTTTCACACGGCAGACACCTCTTCCTTTTTCGATATTGTCCATCTTATTTCTGTGTATGTTAATTAATTAATTAAATTAATGTTTCTATTCACCCTTAATTAAGTCAGCTTCGCCATATTGAAATTAGGTAATGGTTTTCGCGCCACCCGCTTCCCGCGCTTTTGTCATTTTTAATTCTATTTCCTTGACGTCTCGCATGTGTGCGTGTGTGTTTTTGTAGTATTTTTCTTTATTTATTGTATGTTAACAAGTGGTGTTACCTTTTTTTTTAGTGATTCTTTTGTTTTTCTTCTTTTTTTGATGCGACTGCTTCGGTTAAGGTAATTCCGTTTTCAATAGGTTATTTTGGGGGGAAGGCCTTTTTTAATTTTCTTTCGTTTTCCTTTTTTATTTCTTACTTTTCATTTTGGCAGCTCTTATTTATTCGCATTCTTTATGGATTTAAGGTATGTGAATTTTTTTTTCTTTCTTTTTTTTTTCATACGTTTATCATTCTTTTTAATTATCGATATTTAATATTCACATGTCTTTCCTATTGTTTTTCTATCTTTTTCTTTTCTTTCTTTTTTAACTTATCTATATTTAATGTTATGTTTTATATTTCGCCTTTCTTTTTTCTTTCTTTCTTTCTTTTTTCGTTTCTTTTTTTCTTTTCACTTATCTAGATTTAGATTTGTTTTACATTTCCCTTTTCTTTCTTTTTTCTTTCCGTCTTTCTTTTTTTTCCATTCTTTCTTTTTTTTAACTTATCTATATTTAATGTCATATTTATATATTTTCCCTTTCTTTCTTTCTTTCTTTCTTTCTTTCTTTCTTTTCACTTATATGTATTTAATGTTATGCTTTATATTTACCCTTTTTTCTTTCTTTTTTTCCCTCTTCTTACTTTCTTTTCAATTATCCACATTTAATGGTATGTTGTTTTTTCTTTCTATATTTCTTTCCTTCTTTTATTCTTTCCTTTTTCTCTTCTTTCTTTCTTTTTTCACTTACCCATATTTCATGTTATGTTATATATGTCCCCTTTCTTTCTTTCTTTCTTTCTTTCATTCTTTCTTTCTTTCTTTCTTATTGGATTTAATGTATGTGAATTTTTTTGTTTCATTTGGAATTTCTTTCCGGCGTTTCGTTCTATATATAATTTTTTTTCATAGTTTTTTTTAAATTTTATTTTCATTTGTATTGGAACTTTTATATTCGTTTAAGTGTTTCTTTTTCATTCTTTTCTTACGTATTTTATTTTGTTACTTTTTTCTTTCAATTTTTCCGTCCTTCATTTATTCATCCTTTCTTTTTTACTTTCGTTGGTCAGTTTTCTCGCTTTTATCTTCCATCATATTATTACCTCATTTCTCTTCGTCATCCTTCCTTCTATCTTTCTTTTTTTCTTTCTATATTTCTTTCCTTCTTTTATTCTTTCCTTTTTCTCTTCTTTCTTTCTTTTTTCACTTGCCTATTTCATGTTATGTTATATATTTCCCCATTCTTTCTTTCTTCCTTCCTTCCTTCCTTCCTTCCTTCCTTCATTTCTTCTTCCTTTCTTTCTTATCAGTCATCTATATTTAATGTTATGTTATATATTTCCCTTTTTTCTTTCTGTCCGTCTTTGTTTCTTTCTTTTCACTTATATATATATATATATATATATATATATATATATATAATGTTTTGTTTTATATTTACTCTTTTTTCTTTCTTTCCATTTTCTTTCTTTATTTCTTTATTTCTTTTCAATTATCTATATTTAATGTTATATTATATATTTCCACTTTCTTTTTTTCTTTCTTTCCTTCTTTTTTCTTTCTTCCTTTTTTCATTTATTTATATTTAATGTTATGTTTTTTCTTTCTTTCTTTCCATCTTTTATTCTTTCATTTTCTTTTCTTTCTTTCTTTCTTTTTTGCATTTACCCATACTTCATATTATGTTATTTTTTCCCTTTGTTTTTTGTTGTTTCCTTCCTTCCTTTTCTCTTCCTTCCTTCCTTCCTTACCTACTTCCTTCCTTCCTTCCTTTCTTCCTTCCTTCCTCCCTTCCTTCCTTCCTCCCTTCCTTCCTTCCTTCCTTTTCTCTTCCTTCCTTCCTTCCTTCCTTTTCTCTTCCTTCCTTCCTTCCTTCCTTCCTTCCTTCCTTCCTTCCTTCCTTTCTTCCTTCCTTCCTTCCTTCCTTCCTTCCTTCCTTCCTTCCTTCCTTCCTTCCTTCCTTTTCTCTTCCTTCCTTCCTTCCTTCCTTCCTTCCTTCCTTTTTCTCTTCCTTCCTTTCTTCCTTTTTCTTCCTTCCTTCCTTCCTTCCTTCCTTCCTTCCTTCCTTCCTTCCTTCCTAGCTTTTCTGTATTTATTCCCTGTTACATAGAACCCATTTCTTTCTTTATGTATTTTCTTTTTTTTTCGTTACTTTTCTTTACTTTTCTTTCTCCCATTATTTCTTCCATATTTTCTTTCTTTCTATCTTTCTTTGCTATTCTACCTACAGTTTTTGAATTTAAACACAATGCGAGATTGGAGACGACGTGTCATCAATTTACATGAGTGCTGGCTATATGTAACCGTAATTTCTATGCTAACAGTTTCTTTTCTCGAACTTATCGCTTGTGGAACACACGCTGCGGTCCCAGTCAACTTTAATCTTCAAAAACATACATGCAATGTTAATCGTTATCTGCTATATTTCTAATTATTCTTCTATTGTTCTCCCTCCTTAGTAATGTTTCTGTTTTATAATTCTTCCAAACTCAGTAAAGTATAAGTTATCTTACTGTCTTCCTTGATACCAATGTGATTTAAAAAATCGCTTTTGTATTGGCCATAATTCTTACTCTCTCTTTTCCTTCCTTCATTTCTTTCTTTTTTCTTTATTTCTTTCTTTCTCTCTATGTTTCTCTTCTTTCTCTCCTTTCTGTCTCTCTTTCGTTCTCTCTTTGTTTCTTTTTTCACTCTTTCTGTCTCTCTTTCTCTCTTCCTTCCTTCCTCAATTCCTTTCTCTCTATCTTTCTTTATTTCTCTCTCTTTCCTTCTTTCTTTCTCTCTTTCATTCTCCCGATGTTTCTTTTCTTTTTCTCGTTCTGTCTCTCTTTCTTTCTTCCTTCCTTCCTTCATTAATTCCTTTCTCTATATCTTTCTTTAATTCTCTCTCTTCCTTCCTTCTTTCTCTCTTTTGTTCTCTCTATGTTTCTTTTCTTTTTTTCCTTTCTGTCTCTCTTTCTCTCTTTCGTTCTCTCTTTGTTTCTTTTCTTTCTCTTCTTTATTCTGTCTCTCTTTCTCTCTTCCTTCTTTCCTTCCTTCCTCAATTCCTTTCTCTTTATCTTTCTTTATTTATCTCTCTTTCCTTCTTTCTTTCTCTCTTTCTTTCTTTCTTTCTTTTTTCTTTTAGATTTTCCAATATGTCTTCATCCTCTTTTATGTTCTCTTTTTCCTTCCTTCCTTCCTTCGTTCCTTCGTTTTATTATTACTTTTCTTCTTTTCTTATTTTACTTTCTCTTGGAAACTTTATATTTTCTTCTTTTACCTTTTTTTCTCTGTATTTGAATATTATATTTTCTTCTTTATTTTTCACCTGCGTCGGTCGCTTCCTCTTTCAACTTCACCTTTGCTTTCTCTGATAACTCATTTTATCTATCTTGTTAGTAAAACCGGATTTTACGTTGTCTGTTACAACCTAACGCATAACATGCATGTCAAATATGACGTAAAATTTTAAAATGAAATAAATTAGAATAATTTTTTTTTTAAACTTATAAATACAAATATATACAAAAGGATTTAATTATAAAAAATAAATTTTAGTTATATTTCTTCCCTTTTACTTGTGGAAGTTACTTCCGGTTTCTTGCTTACCTGATATTTACGATCTTCCAAAATTTTAATGCAACGTTAGTCGCCATTTTATGACTTCCTCAATACATTGATTGATAAATTGAATCCATTGTTAAGTCAACTGAAAAGAAAACTGATTCACAGTGAATCTATCTTATATATCTATAAGTCTACCATTCGTCCATGCTTAGAATATTGCTGCCACCTATTGTCCGGTGCACCTGGTTTTTACCTTGGGCTCCTTGATAAAATCCAAATATGAATCAGCAATATTATCGGCCCTGATCTGGCGGCTCGGCTTCAGTCGTTTTCCCATTTCTGTAAGATAGCCTTTCTGCGGTTTTCTATTAATACTTTCATGGTAATTGTTGAGCTGCCTAGATGTAGCCGTAAATTCTATGCTAACTGTTTCTTTTCTCGCAAATGTTGCTTCTGGAACTCCCTTCCGACTCCATGTTTTTCAACCAACTTTAATCGGCAAAAATTTAAATGCAATACCAATCGCTATCTCCTGTCCTCCTGATTAATCCTTTCTCTTTCCGTTCATTCTTAACGTTTCTGTTTTAAATTCTTCCACACCCTGTAACCCCTTCTGTCTTAGCGGTTTACCGACTTACATATGTGGATACGAATAAAAAAAATCCGGTTCTTCTTCTGTCGTTTTATCTCACTAATTTCTTCCTATTCTCATTCATTCTTAATAAATATCTGCGTCTTAGAGGCATTATCTCCTTCCTTGGGACGAAATAATACAACGTTTCAAATTTTAAAATTCGTTTTCAGTTCACCGAAAATTCATTTGCTCTTGTAAATATATGTGATTTTCGAATGTTGGGAAAAATCTATTTTCTTTTGGCATGTCTATTCAAGACTTGGGTAAATATGGCGCTGCAAAACCTCTTTCGTTTTTCTCTAGGCAAGTTTTGATATTTATCATCCGTCTTTGTCATTGTCCTGCCACACCTATTAAATAAATTACTCGACATTTATATTATTTAAACACGGACTATTGCGTAATCTTTAGTTGCCACGCTTGAAGGCGTCCACAGAGGAATCACTTTTCTTACTGCTGCTACAACGGCTGTTGAAGCCTTGCTGGTATTCTGTTTGTTTATTCATGAAAAGTATCCATGTCGTATTTATTGCAACACTAGGCATTTGGTAACAAAGAAAAGAATACTGAACTGTTGTTCTACTTTACGGCAGCGAATGTTGGACGATTTTCTCAAAAGTGAAGAGACTCGAGACCACAGAGATGTGGTATTACAGAAGGATGCTAAGGATGTCATAGACCGAATGTGTGAACAACGATGAGGACTTACGTTGCAATCAAGGTGTAGGCTTATACTTTAAATCAGGAAGAAGCAGCTAAAGTTTCTGGGGCATGATGTGGAAGGAGGACCTGGTGAATCTGATACTCACAGGTCGAATAGAGGGAAAGACCAGGTAAAACAACGCATGGCATATCTAGCAGGCTTAAGCAAGTGGATGACAGAACTGGGAAGATGGCACAGGAAAAGGACTTTTTGAGAGCTGCAGTGGATAGAGGGAGGGGAGCAGTCTGATCATCCACGTTCTGAAATGACATGGCACATGAAAAGCAAGAACAGACCTATTAAGAGGCCGGCATAGCCTAACATTCAGATATATTTTAGATATATAACACTCCAAATTTCGTATCTGTCTAGTATTTTTACTACATTCTGCAGGTCTTGTTATCTTTAGATTTCACCCCATATATGATCAGCCATACCTGATTGTCACTCTCCTAATTACGTTTTTTTTTCGTTCCTTTAACCTTGCTTTTTGTTCCTTCCTTTCTTTCACCATTCATTCCTTCCTTCCTTCCTTTCTTTCATTTCCTCATGTATATTTATATAGACGTCTTTCTTTTCTCACTTATCTATATATATACATATGTATCTATAAGACATGTGAAATTTCCAATGTTTTTCTATTTGAATTTTCTGATGGATCGTAAATACTTAGTTAATGACTGACTAAGCCCATGGCGAGTTCTCTGACAATAAAATATCCGTGGAAATTTCCCTATCGCATCGTTATATGTTTGAAGTTAAAAACTTTAAGAAAATCACATCATTCCTTAGTAGAGTTATATCAATGTCGCTTCAAGTTCTTTCTTCATGTGTGAGGACATTGTCCGACATTGACTGCTGTCGAGGTTAGATATTATTACATTCAACGTACTCCAGCTCAATTTTCATCGTTTTTAACACCATTTCCTAAGACTTTGGTTTGTTTCCAGAAGACTTTTTCGGTGTGCTATCGGATTCTTATATTATGTTTTATGCATTTTTTTGTCACAATGGATTGATACTCAAATTTCTGTATGAGTTTCAGTCGGCGATTCTGATTGTAAAGCGTACAATTACATCTGAACACAGGGATTTTTATACATTTAATGAAGAAAATTTGCAATTTAATAAAACTTTTGAAAAGACCGGGCGGGTAGGCGAAAATATACGGTTTACCAAAAAAAAAAATTCTATTGAAAGACTTGCATTCGTTACATAAAACGTATGTAGTGATAAGACATAATATTGATTTAAAACAATAAATTCCATAAAGCAAGCACACACACGCACACACACACATATATATATATATATATATATAAAAGACAGTTTTATGTTTATACATTCTTCTTATAGATACAAATATTTAAGTAAATGCGCTTTTTATAATAAACAGTATTAATAACATTTACCAGCCTGAATGTTCGAGAAATTTTCATAGCTAACGGAACCTTCATATAGCCTGACGTGCCTTTAACCGATTTGGCCACAGAGGATCGTTCGAATAGCAAAGTCGACTTTACTGCTTTTAAACTGCAATCTTCCATGAATCTCTCAAGTGCATTCATATCTGCTCAAAGCGTATCCAAATGTAAACAAATGACGTTACACATTATGAAACGGACAAAGTCCGACAATTATATTAAGATATTTATGTGGAGTGCCTTTTTTTTTTTTTTTTTTTTTTTGAATGCCACACTCTTCATTCACACACAGAGAAATAAGTAAATTTATGTTGTTAGGTAATGTGACTCCTCCACACACGGTCACTCCTGGGCGTCTAATTGTTGAGCCAAAGTGAAGATGAGACATGACGAGACAAGTACCGTAATTCCCCATGTATACTACGACCTCATCCATAATACGCACCCTAAAATTTATGCTGAAAGTGTGAGAAATGCTTCTACTCATGCATAATACGTACCCTTTGTTTAGAAATCAAACCCTATAAATTGTACTTCTCCAATTTCATTACGGCCAGTGTGTTCTACTCTTATTAAAAATGGTTTTAAACATAGAATAATATTATTCTAATTTAGTTTTATGATAATTCCCATTTTATTTTACATTTGTAAGTATTTTTAGGTACATATGATTGTATTTGACATCCTTATGGGGTTGCAATCGCCGAATGATAGTGTCAAATTGTCGTATATTTGTGGTGAGTAGTCATTTCGCAACTGAAATCGACATATGAAACGGCAATCTTTTTAAGATCGTTTGTAGCTGTGCATAATACGCACCTCTAATTTTGCATGCAACTTTTTAAAAAAATGCGTATTATACATGGGAAATTAGTTTAGGTCTTTTTGTTAATGGAGAGGTAAGTATAATAGTAATCCGTAACTTGTTACTAGGAATAAACCGCTTCAACGCTGACTTCAGTGAATATACAGAAATAGAAAGAGTAGACAGACAAAGATGAGTTCACTTGACGGATTTATTTAAACACTATATTTAATTTAACTTGTTTATTTAACTTAGAAAACTAAAATTCCTAGCGTGATTTATTATCGGTCGACATAATTTTAACACGATAAGATAGGCGGCGGAGATTGTGTTGAGTCAGTAAGGAAATTGAAAGAAAAATATCAGAACGCAAGAAGAAAAGAAGAAGCGTGAAATTTAAGACTATATATATCGTTGTCAGCGAAAATAGCATCTCGGATTGTGAGTTACGTATTAGCAAATTCAGGATGAAGCAGGTGTCGTGGTCACTTTCCTAATTCCTCATTAGGGATAGTATTATTCTTACAGAGGGTGCTCAATAAAAAAAGTGGAATTTATTCTTCTGTGGCCCTCGCTGAAAAGCCCAGATATGAATAATAAGGATTACTGTATATGGACAATACTCCTAAATCAGTTGCAAAACATTTATTTAGTTCCATCTCTAACTCAATCATTAGTTTGATAGATACAATTATATTTGCTTCTTTCTTTTTCTTTCTTTTTCTCTT